TCCTCTGGAACATGCTGCCTTCTCACAGGGACAGGGAGCTGTAGCAGATTGGGCTGGAAGCCAAATCTGTTCCCAAGGGCTCATTCACAACAGCTGAAGGATCTTGTTATGAAAAGGATGTTCAGGACAAAAAAACGAGGTTCTTTCAAGAGACACTGGAGCCTTCCAGAATTTGTTTTCCTTTTTAAGTTTTCCTAGTGGGTTTATTTTTTCCCCCTCTTTGCTCATTTGTTTTGTCTCTCAGGGCAGAATTGAGAGCCTAAGCTCAGAGATTCACTGTGAGCTTCTGCTCTGTTCAAATAAAACTCAGGTATCGTGCCCAAGAAAAAGGTGAGCAGTACTAAGCTGGCTTCATTTACATTTGGGTATGGACAATGCTGTTAAGGTATAATCATAATGCTGAAAAATCCAGCACATTGTGTTGTTTGGCACTTGCTCTCAGATTTTATGCCATGGTGACTATTGAAAATATTTTATTATTTTTGTGGATGGTAAAGAAAAACCTTTCCTGTTTCATTACTTAGAATTTTTGTGGCTGTTTTTTACTTTGTCCATTTATCTCTCATGAAACCCAAGGAGAGCTCTTGCTCTCCATTCATTCTTCCAACACTGAAGTCTGGAGTTCCTTTGAAGTTTACTTTGGCATCTACTTCCTCAAGCAAGCACCTTAAAAAAAATTAAAGCTGAAAGTGGTACCCCACTCCCGACTCAAGACGTAAGTTTAGATACTGAATTCTAGGAACAAAGATTTAGTGAAAAAACAAGACACTAAAGTTACAACAGAGCCTACAAAATCTAGGTTAGCTTTCATACTAGCAATTCAATTAGTTGAGTTATAGACATTCAGTTACACAGCTCTTCTATTCAAGTCATTCCTTACTGCTGACAGCAGTTGAGGGAGGAACAATAATTTCAGGGAATACATGGGAAATAACAAATATTCCCTAAGTCACTGGCACTCAAACAGGTCTAAAATTGTGACTGGGCATTTACAATTATTCAAAAGATTGGTAGGAAGACCAACTCCACACCATCTTAATTGTTCTAGGCTTTAAAAACCAAAAAAACCCCATCCCCCCAACATATAATATTTGCCCTACTATAATTAAGGCACTGGATTGAGAGAAGGAAAGATCTGTGTTCAATTTCTGGTTCTGCTATCAATTTCCCATATCATCATGGGCAAATCACTTAGGATTGAGAGCTCACATGCACACTGCCATGTTTCAGGTGAGCCATACTGTTTGCACACATTTAAGACATGACAAGTGCAAGGTCATGTCATCTAATTTAACTCAGTATGGAATAAATTCACATTAAATTGCTTTACCTTGCATTTTTTCTGGATTAACATTTATAAATTCAGGCAACAAAAGAAGCCTGAGAAGTTTATACCCCCACATTTAAGACAACACTTAATCATGCATGCAAGTGGTTTTTAGTCCTTTATCTTTCACTCATTCTCTTATAAGCATCTATTCCTTTCTTGACTGTCTTTAATATTTAGATTATGAATGACTGAAGATATTTTCATCATACCTAATACACAAGGCTTGAGCCTCAGATGAGAGGTTATGGGACTCCTATAATACAAACAAATACTACAAGTCTGATTATATAAATTTGCAAGAACTGAAGTTTCCTTCTTGACATGTGCACCAACTCAAACATTGGCTTTCAGTCCCTCCAAAGGGGAAGGCAAGGAAGAGAGGGTGGCCCAAATCAGAACTATCATCTACACACCAATTAAAAATAAAATGTAATAGCAACAAGCTGCAGCTCAAGGCATGTTACATATTTCCCTTTGAACTCTGAACTGTGAGGCTGAGTTTTCTGTTTGGATCTGTCTCATGTTCTGTAAGAACCAGGCATTTCCCAAAGTACAGAATAGAAAAAAATTTGCGTGTAGATTAAATTACTGTCCAGAAAGGAACAGTATGCCCCAAAGAAGCAAAAAGCTCTGAAAACACACCACAGCTAAAGATCTTCCCAACTTCCTACTGGCACTAGCCTGCACCAGCCTCCTGTGTTGGTACAAATCTCTCCCATTTACACTAGGATGATCTGGAACTGTCATTTCAGGATTGTTAACCCCCTGCCTAATTGTTTCCCTGTCCACTAGACTGAGAAGTAAGTAGTTTTCATTCAATGTATTCATGACAACTTAGTAAGCATTTTCTTTGACAAGCAGAATACACAGTGTTTTCGAAGGCTTCGTTTTCAGATAAAGGCTTTTGTTTCACCAGATCAAATCCTGTAGCATTCAAAATTAAATTCTGATAGATGCAGCCAAAATTCAACCCACTTGTAACACTAAAGTCAGGGAGCTAAAGGCAGGATGAAAGTATTCTATACTCTGGACTTAGCTTTTGGAGTTGAATGTTATGACTAATGCACCTTTGAGTGCATATAGGAACACTGGGGACAAAAACTTCTGCCTTCAACATACAGCCTCAGTTCAACTGAAGTTTCCCTTGTGGATTAATTATGAGCTATTAGTAAATCAGTGACTGCAGCTGCATTTGCTAATCCCAACGAATTGTTGTGCTGACTGGAAAGCCTCCTCTCTCCTGATTTGCTTGGCAGCTTACAAGGTTGTCTCAGCACTAGATTTGTAAGGTACTTTAAAATGTTTTGTCACTTTTCTAAGATGTTCTGTTTTTACCTGTCTACTAATCTTACCAGTACAAGAGCAATTCCATGAAGTTTTAGTGGTGGGGTTTGTTTGCTTCACTGGTTTTTCCTTTTAAATGAGGCTCATACCTATTCCAGGATTCTGGGAGGAGATGACTGGAGAAGAACATGTCCTTCAGTCTCCCAACACAGATTAATAGCAAAACATCAAGTCCACTGCAACATGCTCTCAATTTAGAAAGTGCTGGTGCTATAAAGAGAAAGCCATTGATTATTCACCCTTGATTTATAATAGTTGAGAGCAAGTACAAAAAGTAGCTTCTTACAAGAGGGAATCTGGGTCTTCTAACTCAGTAGAATTTAGAATGTAATTCCAAAATCCATATACTTACAAAGGCCTCTCTAATTGTAACATAAAAACAAATTGGGAATATCAGTTAAGCATCAGCTGCAGGGTTTGGATTAGAAGCACCTGGGCAATGCAGGCTGTGGTACAAGAACACTTTGTGTCTCTGTGCATGTTTACACAGACAGATCTCCTGCAGCAAATGAGAACCTGGTCCAAAGGGTCTGTCCTGCTCCAGCACTGTACTAATCATGGAGATAGATAGTGTTTATGGGATGCAAGTTTGGTGCAGGACATGGGCTCTTCAGACTGGCCATTTTAGAAACATTCAATACACAAAGCAGCTTACCAAATCACTACTTAAACCTTTGCTCAATAACTCTCTCAACAATTGTGATGTAGAGAAGATTCTTTACAGATAGAAAATTAAGGAATAAATTCAGGAAACTGTTCTATGTGACTTTGAGCATCAACAGCAGAACCATAATTAAAACTCAGAATATTCCTAACTCCGAACCCTGTGTTAAACAACATTTATACCTGGGTTTGGTACATAAAACCGTGACTAGTTACATGGAAGGAAAGGGAGGGTCAAGAAAGGACATTATTTCTGCACAAGTGGTATTTTCAGATTAAATGGAATGTCCAACAGCATGGAGTGCAGCTTCTTTGCATTTTGTAATCAATTATTTTTCAAAGATATGCTGTTTGCAATTCCCACCTCATTTGGAAAAGAAAGGATTTACAGTGGCTTTTGCAAACCTGACTAGAGACAGATCAGGAGAGCACGACTGGCCAAAAAGCCCAGCTCACTGAGAATACAGCACAGTGCAGAGTGGGATTCACATATTATTTACTGGCTCTCATTTGCACACCTTTTCGACAGGTGGCTAAACTGCTCAAAAACCAGACAAAACGAGGGGATGCAAAGTAACATACTAACTTCTTTAATAGAGTCCAATCCAATTAAACCAAAATCACTCTGTGAACCCCTGGGTTTATTCACACTAAACAAGTCAGTGGTACATAGTGTTAACCCGATAGCTGATCGTGTTCATCCCCTAGGTCCCCACATGAAAAATGAGCACCAGTCAACCAGACTGTAATGGTATTTTTCCTTCCTTTTTTTTTTTTTTCTTTTTTTTTATTTTCATAAAAACTATTTCTTTCATAGACTTAAAACAACCAACTAGCCAAGTTATTAATTATGGTACATCTAAAAAAAATATCATACTAACCCTAATGTGACTGCTGCTTTACGAGTGCTCTGTGTATCGCCTTAGACTGGCTTTTCAGTAGCAATTCACTACAACAGGTCCTAAAATAATAATAATAAAGAATTAAAAACCTGACAGCAAGTTTAATGGTCAAAAGTAATAAAAACAACCTGTTCTGAAAGGTGATTTTTCTCAGCAGTTCAGTCCTGCTGCAGCACTCACAGCCTCACAAAGGCAGAAGAGGATCAAATTCTCTCACCTTCTTTAAATGTTTCTGGTTTTAAAAGGACAACTGCATTGTAAACCTGCTAGGAACCATGGGGCATTTTACTTAATGTTATATTCAATAATGGGTCTGTTTTTTAAACTTACTGTTTTTCTGGGGGAGTTTAGGGAGGGCAGGGGAATAGAGAGAGAACAAAATCACAGCTCCCTGTAGCTGCAGCTCCCCAGGTGCCTTGATCACTAAGACTGCCTCATTCTCAGACCAGTGCTGGTAACTTTTGATTACTCTCAAAGAACACAAAGAAAACACCACCAGCAGCCTCTAAAGCTCCATTTGTTTTGGGTCATGTCTCCTATTCAAGGCCACCATCTTCTGTAATTTATCAGCTAAAGAAGCATTTTCTCCCTCTCCCCAGTGAAGGTTTAAAGGTGGGGTAGGGCATGAGACAAAGAAGGAAGCTAAAATGAATAAAAAAATTCTCAGCTATAGAACCAAATTTCATTATTTCCTCTTTCATTCACAGCATCTTATCATTATAGCCAGACTGCTGCATTGCTTTGTTAAGATCCAACTGATCTCATTTCCCCTCTGGCCCCATTGGTTGCTGGTCGACCTCTGGATCCACTAGGGATGATGCAAATGCTGACTGGACGATCTGAAACCCAAACGACTCCAGAAGAGACATGTTCTGTTGGGGTGAGAAGGGGGATCCCAGAGCAGGACCCAGGTCCCCCAGTGGGCCACCAAGGGCTCTGACGTGCACTTTCTGTATGTGTTTGTTCAGATAAGACTTTGATCTGAAAAAGCTGCCGCATTCGGGGCACGGGTACTTCTTCTCTCCTTCCATCTCCATTTTGTTTTTGCTGACTGCCAGGTCACACGAGAAGGACCCATTGGTGCTCTGTTTCTCAGGAGTCTTGAGGTCACTGGTGTCAGAGAGGTCTCCATATGAATCAGAACTCTCAATCGGGTCCGAATGTGAACATTTCTGGCCTTCTACGGGAAAAAGAAAAGAGAGAAGTTTTCAGAATCTTGGCTCCTAAAGGAAGATATTTAACATGCATTAAAATAAGTTAATTGGTTACCACCTGATCACATTAATGCCTGTCACAACAGAACAATACACACTTAACATCCAATCCCTCATGTCCTAAAGCCCTTGAGCATAGGTCCCCTTTCCAAACCACCAGGCTGCTATCAGAGCAACAGCTGGGGTTTCATTAGGGATTTGCCATGGTACTGAATGCAACCATACGGGTCCCTAGTTCATATAACACTTCTTCAATCCCAAGGATGTCTCACAATGTTTACACCTCACACACTACAAAGGATGGACCTAATGATGAGTTTTCAACTGTATAGTTCACTTGCACACTTCTGAAATGCCGTTGATACTTTGGGGGAGAGCCTAGAAACTTCAAGAAGTACAACAGGCTGCAGCAAGATGTGAAGAAACCTGGAAACACTCAGCAAAACAGCAGTGAGCTACTGCAATTTAGTAAGTGCAATTCCATTTAGTCTCAAGGAACTCTTTTTCACAAGTGCAACACCCTTAGAAGTTAACTTCACAACCTAAAATTGTTCTATATTTGAATACTGCAGTGTGAAATAGCAGAGAGGTTAGGGATGTTATTTAAGTTATTTGAATATATTTCCTGGCAAAGCCATTGGTATGTTTGGAGTCTTCCCCATTCTCCTCTGGCATTATGCCAAGGAAGTCTGTCCACACTTTTTTGCTCAGTGCCTGTGAATGAGCGTGAGAAACCCAGACGCGCTCACTAAAGGAGTCTCTGAATACAAACAGGCTGTACCTACTATTAACTCTAAGAGACCAAAGAACCACTTGGCACAACCCAAAAGACAGATTTGCTCTGGACTCAGCATTACAAACCCAACAGGATATGCATGAAATCAATACACCACTGAGCTGGAATAAACCTCTTGTTAAGTCAGCACACCACCCAAAACTAAAGGGCTTCTGTAGTAACCCTATCAAGACTTCAACAGAAAAAATTACACAACTTGAGCTTTCTGCTGGCATAGTGTTTGTTTAACCCAGCCCGCTGTGTTCTCCTGGGCAAGAAAAAAAACAGGACAACCATGGCTTTGAAGAATTTTCTGATGTTTCACTTTCACCAGGAATACTGACAGCTCAAACCAAGAAGCAAAAAACTATTCTACACAGGTAAACACACTGCTTTACTTATTCAGAAGTTAAGTACTCCTCAGCTATGCTTACAATAACATCCTTTTATTCCCCCCCACCAAGTTAAATGAATGCCAAAACAAGAAAGCACCAGTACCATTATCCCCCTTCACGTCTTCTCCCCAACAACTGCATTTAGAAGTGTAAGTTTAGCTACAGACAGCTGGCTGCATGTACAGTACGGCTCCTAGCAAAACCAGAAACAGGGTTTGACTGACGCGAGATTCAAGTGCAGTGGGACTAACAAATTTGCCCTCAGGCAAAATTCAGATGCTGACTGCTCCAAGGAAGAGGGTCAAGATGAACTAACAGCTTTTTCAATCTTCCAAATTGAAGAAGCTGCCAAAGCTTTACATACTCTTCTGTGTCCATTTCCTTCCCCTAGACTTGTTAAATCGGCTATCCAGTGACAGGTATTACATCCTACGTGATGCTATGGAATTTCTCTGCATCTCCCTAAGCTTCTCTCCAGTATTTCCCTGTCCTTCCTCCCTCCCCTTTCTCGTGCCCAGCCCAACACCCCACAACACAAAGTTCTGCACAGAGCAGCAAGGTGCAGAGCAGCGAGTCTCTTGCCTTTGATGCCATAGGTCCTGACGCAGTGGAACGCTGCTCCCCCATTCGGGATGGACTCCTGGTGCCTGGAGACCTGGGGAAGGGGAACACCGTGGTGGGTTTTAACATGGACCTTTAAGTAGGAGGCAGAGGAGAAACCTAAACAAGATAAAAGGAGATGAGATCCTGCCACCAGCAAAGACACACATCTGCCTTCCCTGTTCCTTTAATCTTTCTCTTGCTCCTGCTCCCTATTTTAAAGCTGCTGCTCCACCAGTTCCCTCTGACATGCTCACGTAGGAGTCCTGTCATCCTCAGGCAGTAAAGCAATGCACACTTTTCATCAGACTCAGCTTGCTTTTTGTTAGTCACAAAGAGAGAACAGCCTCCTTAAAAACAAATTCTGTCTAAGCAAACCTAGCAGGTGACATGAAACTTTCTGGGAAAAAAGGCAGAAGAGACATCATACAAAAAGGCACCCATGTCTCTTCACCATTTTCCTGCTGTTTTATTTATTTTAATTAAAAATGCTTTTTTCACCTGATAATACATTGGAAGATAGTTCCAATTAGTTGATTTTGTGCTGTTAAGATCTGAAGGAATGCTATTTAGTAACAACCCTTGTTGGTTTAGTGTGCTTTTCCCTTAGGTTTCTATAGCACTTATAGTGACTTCTAGAAGGCAGAAAGCTGAAACTACTGACTTTTTAAGTTATACACTTTTGCTCAATAGTAATTTTAAAAAAAAAAAATTTCCTGCAGTCAGCTCACCCTGAGTTTAAAAAAATATACTAGAATTCATATTTTGTCTACAGTTAACAAAAAGACTAAAAATAAATTTCAGTATTTTGATTAGCTCTGATCTATAAGCGCCAAACACTGAAAATAAAAGCATATATATCAAACAATTGATTTCTGAACAAACCAATTTTTTACATTTGTGCATGTGCTTTTTAAAATGCTTCTTTAAGTCTCGTGTAGTTTTTCTTTAGTGCAATGAAGTATCTCACATATACTTTGGAAAGTTTTCCAATTCAACCTCAGGAAGATTTACTGCAGTTACATTTGGACCATATACGAGGCACAAGGAGGACAGAGTTTTAAAGAGTTCCTACAGAGGTAAAGCTGCCACCACCAACCAGCTTAATTTTCTGTTATACTTTGAACAGAGTATTGTGGCACTTTCATGTTAGAAACATTTTCCACTAACAACTAAGAACATAACACGAGGTTCAGCATCACAGACCCAGAGCTGCAGGTTCCCTTTCTGGAGAGAGAAAACCCAAGCCCTAGATTCCTTTAAACCAATATAGCATTTACAGCACAAGTCCTTGCAAGAAAACTTTCATAACAATAATTTCCTTAAAATATGAGTAGGTATTCTACCATAAAGCCATTTTTATAGTGATATAACTGCATTTACATTTGGTGATATATAATAATATATTAGGAATGCTGCAAACCAAACACTACACACCTCTCTGGGGTGGATTTTCTGACTGCAGCTGTTAGTTTCAGGTGCTGAATTTAATAATGAATGTGGCTTTACACTAGATTTCCCTATGCCTAGCACAAAGAATATCCCTCTACCCTGACTATTATCCAGAGGTTATTAAGAATTATATATACAGGACCTGCAAAGCAAGAACTCCACAGCAACCTGCTGAAGGAAAAAGGGGCAGGCTGCTGAGAACGAACAAGAGGTAGTTACTGTGGACCCCTGAGCTGAAGATAAAAGTACAGAAAGTAGATACATCACAACTGGAGAAACCAAGAACATATGACTCTCAAAATACAATGGAGCAGAATCACCAAGGCCAAGTCATTCATGGAATTAATGTAAAGATATTATCCTCTGAAATAATGCAAGACCTACCCTCAGACACAAAACGCTGCACTGAAAATCTCACTGGGCAGCAAGAGAATGTATTCTTACAAATACCAAAAATTCACTGTAGACCTGAAAGAACCAGTCTTTGACTGCTAGAGAAAAGGGCACAGTGTACAGATATAATGGTGACACTTCCACCGGTGAGGTACTTTCCTTATTTCACACATGTGGCCAATAACCACATGCATGCTGAGATAAACCTCTTTGATGCAGCAATGCATTAAAATCTCACTGCCAACCATTAAAAAAGGACTACAATGCAGGTATTCAGTGTTTTTCTACACCACAACTGACACAGGAAAATCTGAACTTGTCATCTCTGCACACAGGATTTTTACTGAACTCTGCAGTTCTATTTGCAGAGTACATTGTTTTATAGAATGAAAACTGCTGCAAAGTGTGTTAGCTCCCCTTTATGCACTTGGCACATGAACATGTGAGTCATCAACTTCCATCAAAACCATAAGAATACCAACTGTTTCATGGGAAGCTGTTTAAAGGAGACTTTTTGGGGGCGTTTTCATCCTGATTTTTTCCTGAAGCACTTAGCACTGGCCTTTTTATCTCCACCAGACTTTAATTATGAATGCCTGTCCTAGGAAGATGGGGGTTTATAGACCATAATCCTTCACTCTTAAGTCTCTTTCAGAGCAAAGTCAGACTAATCCAGAGGATAAAGTGGCAGTGTTTCTCAGAGCAGGAATGTATTTATTGCTTTACTCATACACATCTCTCCACTTTGCAAGACAGGTTATTTCTTCATACCAGAAGAACCAATATTAAAAACATGCATAGAGAGGAAATGTACTCCTTTATATAAATGGGACCTGCCCCTTGATCTCTTAGATAGTATCTATAAGGAGATAAACTACAGCAATAATTGCAGGATAACTCCTTTATATAAATGGGACCAATGGGACCTGCCCCTTGATCTCTTGGATAGTATCTATAAGGAGATAAACTACAGCAATAATTGCAGGATGCTCCTTGTTCAAAAATTTTAATTTGGGTTTAGCTGGAACATGAGGAGAATGTGTCTTTATTTACTGGACTCTGTCCCTCATGAAATATGCAAGAACTCAGCAGTGGGGGGGCAGGGGGGGAAATTCTCATTTGTGATTTGAATATTTACCCTTTTCCTAACTAATTTGATTCTGTGAAACAAACAATGTGCATGTTTTTGAAACACAACCCCAAACTTCTGAGTTGCAGGTGTCATTACTAAGTACCAAAGTCATTAATCTCTTGAATACTTTGAAAAAGCCCACACAAGCAAATAAAGTTCCTAAGGATGGTAACAGATTGTGTAACAATGCAACAGGAGCATATCTTCTTTATTTAAACTGATTAAAGAGAATTTGTCTAAAAATGTGAGGCTTGAGGATTAGTTTTTTTAAGCACATTTTAGACAAATTCTTTAAGAAAAAAACCCCACAACAACAAATTACCAAACCAAAAAAGAAAAGGAAAAAAAAAACCCCAAACAAAAAAACCCCAAAATCCCAGGGAAAAAAAAAAAAGAAACAACATCAACTCCCAGAGAACCACTTCACTGTTTCCCTGATTTAACAAGATTTAATTACTACCATGATTACTCTAAGCATAAAGACTTGGAGTAAGAAAACAACCTGGAAAAAACATCAAATCACAGCTGGTAGTTTTTTAAAATTATACTGCCACATTGTAAAAGACACAAGTATGATAAACAAATGAACCACATGACATGGCAAACTACTGGCTACTGCTTTCTGCCAGGTACCGAGTTCCACCCCTATCTCCTAAAGCCATTAAACCTTTAAAACAAGATGGGACACTTCATTAAGTTCCACAGAAAAGCCTTCAGTCCAGTGGGATAAACTGAGGGAGTCTGTCTTTAACACCAGCAATGTCACCTTTTCATCCACTTTTTTTTTAAGTGGCCAGCATCCAAAATCCTCTCCACAAGCAGCTGGAGCTTGTAGAGTATTCTTGCTTGACAATTACTATATCCAGAGGCTGACAATTACTATATCCAGAACCAGCTAAGTTTCAGTTAAAAAATACATCAGCACATTAGCCAAGGGAAGAATAAACAAACTCTCTTTGCACAAACACCTCAGCCATAGCACAGCTGTGATGAGGTTACTGTGTGTGGCTTCTGACTACACCAATGCCTATCAAATAGATATTTCTAATCCAGAAATTTTCCATTAGACTTCATCTTGCCAGGCTCTACAGTTTAAAAAATAATTATTTAAAACAATGAACATTATACTTTGATTCTAGAACACCCGAGAGTAAAAATTCTACTGTCATTGATAATAAATCTATAATCAAAACTTAAGAGCATAAAAAATGAGTTTACAACACAATTGTTTGACAAATCCAGTCTGTAGCTTACCATTCCTATGAATTTTCACACTTCCTATGAAATTTAACATTATTTATTATTCATAATTACATTTTTAAAATCCTGATGCAAACTGAAATTCACAGCAGACAATTCTGACAACCCCCATGAAATACACAAACTGTAAGAAGAAAGTAGTTGCTTAAAGTTTGCTGTACAACAGGTTCCCTATCCTTCTACAGAGAAATATATATTTTATTTAAATTCCCACTGTACATTTAGACTTGTAAAATGTGAATAAACCACTCAGTCATTTTATTGTTTGAATGCCGGGTCTGTCTTTGTCACACTGGCTCCATTTCCAAAGAGCTGCAGTGACATCCAGTGGTAGTCAAGCTGAAATTCAAGCTTACAAATCGTGGAAACAAGACAATTCCTCCCAACCCATCTGAGTTTCTGTTTGGCACTATGTTCAACGGAAGGAGAGCAGGACAGCACCTGGATCTCAAACAATATCTTCCATGTTGCTGCCACAAAAAGAATCGGGACAAGCTTAAGCTGTTTTTCAGAAGCCAGGCCTTCAGCTGAAAAGGAGGGCAAGCTTCATTTCACACCATCTACCCGGAGCTTCAAAACGTGAAGATTTTCAACCCAGATGCCTTTTCCATTCACAGTGATAACATCACTTTCAGGATTTACAGACTGTTCAACTAGGAAACACTTCCCTTGCAATTTAATGTCTCATTACTCATCAACTCTATAAGCTCCCTGTACAGTCTGCACATTAAACACAGAAGAGCTTTATTTTCTCAAAAGATTTCACCTCTCTTAAACTAGAAAAAAGAACATGTCAGGAAAAAAGACCCATGAGAAAAAACAAAATCCCAAAACACAGCAGCAATCTCTTCTAACACCTACTAGCCATGTATACATGTGTGAGCCAAAAAGGCATTTTGAAGTTGTGAATTAATCCCTCAAAAAAAGACACCAATAAGTCAAAATAATTTTTCCAGCTTGCCTTACATCCTGCAAAGCCTAAATTTCCACCTCTCTCCAACTGAAGAGTACCACAAAGAGATGGAAAAGCTTCACAAGCTTAGTCATGTGGCTTAGTTTTACATAGGGCTGCACGGAGCATGGAATTGGACCTGGTGATCTTTACGGGTCCCTTCCAACTGTGAAAAGCTGTATTTGTACAAATAAAGGTAAAACCACACTTCTAGTGCTCTTTACAAAGTATGTTTTAGAAATGTATACTAGTACAAAGCAATTAAGAGGGAGAAGCAGCTTGACTCTATTGCACCAGGAGGTTAAGTAAGAGTTAGTAACACAATGTAGATTTATGCTTAGTGTATGATTCTCAACTTGATGTGCATTTCAAAGACACAAAAACATTCTTCTTCCAAACTGACTGCAAGGGCTCAAGTCTAATCAAGTATAGAAAAAAAAAAAGTATGTTGAACAGCAGCAACATAAGGCAACTTATCATGATTATTGTATAGGGATCTGGCTATTTAGCAAATAAAATTTGCTTCAGATTTAAACTGTGTTTCTTTGGGAACTATCTGCCATGTGAAAAGGCCAGAGCTGTACTCCAGCAGTTTCAGGGTTAGGTACTCAGTAGAAAAAGCAGAGTACGTACACAAATAGGGTACAACCTCCTCCTGTTGCAGAGAGTCACGCAGCCTTACAGCTTCCCTCGAGGGCTGCCCCATCCCAGTGGAATAAAAAAATAGTTTCTTCATTACCTCGGTTACAGATAGTGCAGAAGTTGCTTGGTCCTTCACTGTGCTTCTTCAAGTGATCTGCCATATATGCTGCTCTCAAGTACTTCCCACACACCTGGCACGGGACTTTGTCTTCGTGACAGGCCAGGTGTGAGCGCAGCCGGTCACGAGTGGCAAAGGAAGCATTACAAGTCTGCAGGTATAATGAGAACCATGTGACTCATCAGCTCTGCTAACAGCACTGACATTGTTGAATATTTTTAGTATTCCTTAGAGTAAATACCTTAGATACTGTGCGAACACAAAAAATGACATGATGCAGAAGCCTTTTTCCCCCGATAAAAAATTCAGCAAACCAACTCATTGCACAAGACATAATGTTACTACTCAAAAGAATTAAAGCAGCAAGAAAACAGCTCTGACACACTACAGACAGTAAAACTCACACCAAGTTAGACTTGTAAGGTTTTACTCCTTTCTGAGGATGAAGATACTAAAATTTTAAGTAATATTTAACGGAAGAAATAGCAGAAACCACTTTGCTCTGTTTACAATAAGTTCTGCCATTTCACTGAGCCATTACAATCACTTTAAACCACTCAAATGTCCTCTTTGTCATTTGCCTAAATTCTACTCTTTGATGAGATAAATCTAACTACAGTACACAGAATTCTTTTGGAGTGTGAAGACATACAAACAAAGGATCACAGAATTATCTGGGATGACAACATGACGAGAGACAGTAGAAGAGTCGTCCTGGTATCCCACAGCAGCAGTGCAGACAAACCGTAGAAGTGAAGCCTCAAAACTGAGCAGATATCAAAATAACTGCATGACATTGTAATCTGCTTTAACTTACCCCTGGTCAAGGTATCATATTCCACTTACTGCCACAAAACAAGCTTGATTTGGCATAAGATAATATTGATTCTGTTTGCCTTTCCAGCTGAAATCCGTATGATAAGTGAAGGCTCCCTCCCATTTTTATAACCCCAGCAATGGGCAGGCAGGCAGGCTGTGCCCACAGCCTGTTCTAGTGGCCTGCCAGTTCTGAAAGGCTTGCTCTGTCTCTAATGTGTGAAGGGAAATAAATCACCAGCAATATGCTGCACAAGGGATTAGTTATAGTCTAAACCATTTCACAAGCGTAAGAGGAGAAACAAAAGCAAACACACATCAGAACGACCAGACCAAGCCAGAGCAGTGACATTCAAGAGTGAACAGTGTTTTTGTTTATACCAACTTCGTATAAAATATCACAGTTTTAAGAGATATAACCAGAACCACCAAAGAAATAACATGAGGCCATTCACTGTCTTGGGAACTGGGTATAAGCTGTATTTTTAAATATCAGTGTGTAATTAAACCACTGTTTAACAGAGATAAGACTTGTTAAAGTAACAATCTTAGTAAAATTCCAAAATTATAACTCAAGTAAGTGGAACTGATAATACAGAGGAGGATAATGTAATTACATAAAATTCAGTTAATCAAGAGCTTAATCCAAAAACCATTGAAGGCAGCTGAAAAGCACCTATCAATTTCAACAGGCTTTACACTCATTTGATCCTGTGAGATGCTTAAGTGTAGAAAACTCCCATGGAGCTGAGGCTGCTCTGCAGCTAGTACAAGACTTAACACCCCAGAGGATCAGGACTTAATGAAATTGAAAAGGCAACAGTAAAATTATCTGGATTTCTGTGACATACACAGTTTAACTAGGCCCACCAGACAAAGATTTATAAATTACAAGTATTGAGGTTTAAGAGGCAAATTCTTGAACATGAAAGATTTCTCTTCATTTGTAATCTCAGTACACAGCACTGAGCAAAACAGGTGCAGCTTTCACTTACTAAAGCGTTCTTAGAGGTAAGCACTCAAGGCAGGATTGCAGCACTGATACTAATCAATCTGCTGGGTATCAACTAAAGATACATGACTAGACTATCAACAATGGCAGCCAAGAGATCCATCATCAATAACTCTAAAGCTATAGAGCCACAGGAAGGTCCATACCCAAGCATTGGGAGTGCTTTAGCCAATGAGAAGCAGACCAAAGACAAATCACATAAATACAGCGATGCCAGAAGTAAAACCAAATCTATCCCACAGTGAACTTAGCAAGTTGAAAGCTTAGGCAAAAGCAATATAATAATTTATGTGTTTGATTTCTCACTGTTGCTGCTGAGTTGTGTAAAGCTCACCTTTGGATAAGCTATATAATAAATATATCTGCAACAAAGCTTAAAAACAATAATTAAGTCCAGTGGAGAAAGCAAGAACCAGTTTAGCTGAATCATAACAATGGGAGACAGGACTAGGGTTAAAGAAAATCCCAAAGTTAATATTCAAATAGTTAATATTTATAAAAGATATAGAGAAAAAAAAGTTTTATTTTATGAAAGATGTGAAGTGCTAAATGAGTGCTAAGTATTTGTCATTAATTGTTAATCATAGAAGAAAACTCTCCAGTGCTTTCCTATCAAACATTGCACAGGTATATAAATAGATCAAAAAGAATATATAAAGTTTAAAAAACATTGTTTAAGAAATACCTCTTGAAGTTTCAACTTTTCTATGGATGTGGATGTCTCTGAGCTTATTCCATGGTGGCTGCCATTTTCCTGCTAATAGGCAGGAAGTAAGAGAAATTAGGACAGGAAGAAACTCATTCTGCATTGAAATCAATGGGATACGCACTGGACTTGGGATGCCAATTTAGTTGTGCTTTAATTTAACCAACATTTTTCTTTTTTATTTAATTTGCCTGATGAACAACCTGACTTGTCTCGGAGAGGAGCAAACTTCAGTTTTCTCCCCTTGTTCTTTCATGTCCACAGATTTTCAGATCACTGTTTGCTCCCAAACTGCAGCCTGACTTTCACACATCGACGCGCCAAAGCCAACAGCTTCAGCCCATCCCGTGGGGTCAGTAAATGAGCTGCCCCATTCTGGCCATAAAACTGACTCACTCCTTCTCCTACAGCCAGCACTCAACTGTCAGACTGGGGAAAAAAGGTATCAATTCACCAGTGCAACAATCCAGGGGAAGGATCCAGAGTGCCATTTGCCTGGACACCAAAGCAAATTCTTGGATCTGATTTCTCAGCTGCTTTGGCTCTGTGGAGATATGCCCTAATCTGAGTCTGTCTTAACAGTAATGAAAAAGCTGGAGTCAAGACTTTGGCATCAGGTGCTAGAGGTGCTGGAAGTTAGGATACTTGTGAAAGATCTGTGAAGCACAGCCATTATTTTAGGGGAATGAGTGCAGAATTACAAACTGAGCACTGAAAACTATTGCTGTTGCAGGGATCTTCAGCTTAAAATTGTCCTGTTTCTCATACTTTCATTTTTTCTGAAGTTGGGTTGACATCTCCCCACTTTTGTTTTGGTACTCCAAAGTGTACTGTGATGCCACACCAACAAAACATTATATATCACCAGTTTGCAAAGATACCTAAGAGCTCAGGTAAATGGCCAGTTTGTTTATAACAGAGCACAAATTCCAAAAATGCCATTACAATAGAGGATTGGAGTGCTCTGCTGTTTACTGACAGAGTAATTCTCTTTTCCAGTAAACATAAACAAAGCATGACAATAACAGGAATTTTCAACGGGTACTGAACAGATTCAAAAAGGATGCTCAGTGCTTTTCAGGCTGCTCTCAGGAAGAGCTAATCTGCCAAATAAAATCAATGGAAAAAGGGAAGGGAAAATGGGCAAACAACATGCCAATATTAAGCTATTTTCCTTCTTGGTGGCCAGATCCTGTGTTAGATACATATAATGGAACAGATCCATAACTGATTATGAGATAGTCACAGGGAGAATGTCATCAATTTATTCATCAGTTTTTATATCTGAAACAGGTTTTCAGTGACTACATCCCTTCTGTGGTTTCTACAATGTATAGCAGATCTGTGCATATTCAAGAAGACTTTCTAAATCTGATAGGATATTGCAAAGCATTTTCTGCAAAGACACAAAACGTCACTAACAAATTTTCCGCTCCTTAAGATTCACAAAAAATTAACTCTTCAGGGCTAAGCAATCAAAAATCAAGAACAACCCAAGCCTGAAGGACAATCTCAACTCTGTCTTGATGATTGTAGTCTACAGCCTGTACCTTTTAACTGAAATAAACAGTATACAGTATTATGACACTTTAGATACACAGTAAGAAAGACTGTTCTTGGAAGCTGCTATCACAAAATACATGTGTGCAAGGAAATGGAGCTGAGCTCGGGTGTGCCATCTTAGCTTCCATGTTTCTTTACTTCTGAGCTCTTAGTGTATCCTCTGATTCACCAAAAGTTAGTATTTAATATTCTTCAATCAATGGTAAATTATAAAAGAATGATCAGTCATCAGCTGGCAAAGGACAATTCGTAGCAATCCATGTTATCTGTAAACAGTGTTCATCCAGTAATCTTGGTATCAACTAGCAGAAGACTGATGAGTGTCTGTTCATTTTGGGATGTAAACATTCATCATCAGTTCATCCACAGACCTCTTGCTGTCCCCACACTGTGAATTCTTTCTATGAGTGGAATTTTCTGATTTGTATAAATGTGTACCCATAAATCATCTCGAGACACTTGAGCCAATCTAAGGCTTTATGCAGGACACAGTTAAATCAATGTGACAGCTCTACGGCCTGACTTTCAAACGTGCTGGGCTTTCACAGATCATATGGATGTCAACAGAAACCTTTAGATGGCTCCATATGTCTGGAAAACTTCTCAGGATTCTTAAAATTAGAAAATATTTCAAAACTCTCACAATTTGAAGGAAATATAGGTGTGTCAAAACATGCAACAATGCAGATCAGGAGGCAGCAATCATGTAGGATTTTCTAGGTTTATAAAACGTGGTTAAATATTTTAGAAGAAAAAAATCCTCTAACCTTCACTGTCCTCAAAAGAAAAAAAAATACAATCTTGCTTCATCTTCTTGAAATAAATATTAAATCTTTCTTCAGAAGCCAAGCATGGAGATTATTATTAGCCCAACAACTGTTTTAAAAGTTTGCCCAACATCTCTCTGATGGCAATGTGTGATGGTGGAAGCGATTCTCAACTTTGTTTTAATTGATACTTCCAGGCACCTTTTAAATCTTTCTATAAATGGATTACAAAATATCTTCCTTCATTTGATCTTTCAAACCTTATTAACTATAAAAACTATATACAACATTATGACATTGTACAACAAAGGATATTGTGATGTCATTATTCATATTCTCCCTGAGATAAAAAAAGCTTCCAATTTTGCTCAGTGCAATGTTCTGAAGGCTATGCAATTTTAAAAAACAGTATCTTGACAAGTCATGATAACTACAATTTACTAATTTTTTTAAAGTTATTCTGAAAAAACGAAGTCAGCATTGGAGCCTCCTGATGGCAACAACTGCAATTAACAAAATGGAGGGAATCATCAGTGACATCAACTCCAAGCCCGGGCGGCTGGGTAAGAGATGCAGGGTGAGACTGGGACAGCACAGTAGGGAAGAGCACGTGGTAGAATGGGGAGAGGCAGGAGGACCAAAGCTGTAGATGAGGTGAGAGGGGATGGGAGGGATGTAAAGCAGATGTCACTGTGGAACACTGTTCTTTACAAACATTCATCCCAAATCACATATACATGGTATTTCTACTGGTATTTCAAAACTGTCTGCACACATAAATGCAATGCCAAAGATTACCCACAACACCAGTCTAAACCCCTCCGGCTCCTACCTGACACTTGTGAGGTCTCTCTGAGGTATGCACCTGTTTGATGTGTCCATTCAAGTGGTCTGGCCTTAAAGGAAAATACACATAAGCACACTTAAAACAAATACTAAAAATAAAGTTACAATTTTAACATGAAAAAAAAAAAATGTAAAAAAAAACAAAAAAAAATCCCAGTGCTGTATCTGTGACAATTGTAGTGATACTTAGCTTTCCAAGAACCAGATTGCCAACAACTGGGACTCTACCTTGTTATGCACCCTCTGCAACCTGCTAAAAAGGCAGCATTTTCTCAGGAAGAAATCATGACTGAATGATCAGAGGAAACAGGAAATTCAAGTTATGATTTTCAAACCTGCAAGTCCCCATCCAAAATCCTATTTAGATCTTAACAATCAGGGCACTTTGATTCATACTTGCTGAATATTTGAAAATCACACCCTTTTGGTTTATGTCCTAAACACAGATGTAGAAAGCCAACTTTAAGCACCTCTTGCAAAAAGACTATCTAAACTCTGTTGCTGTGACACATTTTCCACCTGCAAGATGAAAAATACTCCTAACTTACAACTTGGTAGGGAGACTGCATTAATACAAATAAAGCACTCTGAGCATTCCAACTAGAAAGTGCAATGGAAGAGCAAATTTTTACTGTAAAAAGTTAGACCGTTCTTCACAACCAGCAAAGCCTACTTGGAAGAAGAAAGGACTGAAGAGCTGCAGCTTGTCCTGGTGGGAGTTTCTCCTAGTGGGAAGAAAGCTTTTCATTGTATGAGACCAAAACTGCTTGGAAACAAGTTCTCCACCCTCTCCTCCCCCAACTTCCCAGCTGCACCAATGAGAGGGCACGGGATGGAATTCACGCACTGCAGACAGAAAATAGGCTGGACTTTGCAGGGGGGTCCTAAACCCGATGCTCCAGCGCTGGGCTGGAGCGGTGTAACCGGACAGACTGGTTGGGGTCCTTCTGGGTACCTCAAGCCCAGCAACCTCACGTGCTGAGCTACTGAATCCAGGAAAGGACACTAAAATTAGACATCACGCTTCCAACTTCCTTTGGCTGCTCCTAAGAGTGAACACTGAAACTTAAGAGTCTCTAGTTTTCATTCATACTTCGGTTTTACAGATACGCAAACGGTTTTGTTGTTAACTTTTATAACAGCATTCCCACCTGTTCACATTAACTTACTGAGGAAAATAAGAACTCAACGTGTATGTCTCACTTCCCCTTAATGACAAAAGCCTTTCATACAGCAACAGCAGAAATCTTTAAGTGTCAGTAAAAACAATAAAACTTGGCACACAATCCCGGGTAGTGCTATAATAAGAAAAGTACTTTCACTTCTAGCCACAGATGAAATTTTCATTTTTGTGACCTTCCATCACTCAATCTGCAGTCCTTATGAAGATGCATCCCTAATTACTGGCAATTTAAAAGAAAAAGGGGGGGGGGCTGCATTTTCATAATTTATTTCAATAACATAAAGTCCCTCTATCAGAAAGAGAGCAGGGGCAAAATGCCACAATTTACACAGCCTGGTGGCCTTTTGATTTGTTTTCAGATCTCAAGTCCTTCCCTCGCGTCAGAGCAAATCAACTGCTGTAGAAAACCGACTGCTGGTACAGAAATAGCAGAGTACATCCCCCTCCCCCCCACTACTTCTACACTCAAAGCGAGTGGCAAACTTCCAAAAAAGTTTCGAATTCATTAACTCAAGACTACAAGATACCACTAACACAACTACGTGTACCAAACTACTTATTAAATTAGCTCCCACAAACAGCGACAACAAAAAATCAGCAACATTAAATGCACAGATCTTACGTATGTTGCAGGGCAGAAACAGGATCCCCTTCAGAAGGATGTAAACCCAAAGGACACAAAGATCATGTATTAAAAGACACTTGATGCTGCAGCCTTTGAAATCTCACCTCTTCCTTCACATTTGGGTGATAAAAAACATTACGAACTAAGAGAAACGAAGGGAAGTTAAGAAAAAGAAAATTTAAAATGGATACGAGAAAAATAATAATCTTGAGATCTATTATTTTGCACTTCAACAGCACCTTCAAGCTACCTACACATCAGCGATCTCAAGACAGTTCTGTGAGGCAGGTAATTATTTCAATACCCATTTCACAGAAGAGTCATTTGAGGCAGAGACTAACTGATTCGCCCAAGGACACGCATACAGCAACTCTGGGACAAAGCTGGGAATGTTAGCCAGAAGCCAGCTGACTCCCAGTTCAAGGTCTTAATTACTTTTAAACCCTTCCAAGAGACTGCAGAATAGCATCTCAGAGGAAATTATGGAAGTCTCATTCCTTGAAACATTCTGAAGTGGAAGTCAAACTATTCTAAGTACATTTCCAAGGGATAAGAAAGTCAGCTTCCTAGGTCTCTGTTTGTGTCAATGGTCCATAGCAGCACTCTCTTACCTGGAAAAGCCTTTTCCACAGCTCTGGCAGATGTAGGGCTTTCCCACAGAGCCATCATGCGATCGAACATGATAGGACATCCTGTCTTTTCGCTTGAACCGCAAGCCACACACCGGACAAGAGTAAGGCTTCTCGCCAGAGTGTGACAGCTTGTGCCGATTCAGGTGGTACACGTCCCGAAAAATCTTGCCACAGATCTCACATGCCACCTGTTTCCTCGTCCTGCTTCTTTTTCGAGGCGCGTCAGGGTCATCCTGACCAGGAACACCATTTTCACCCAGTCGTGGGGGTGGGATGTCTATATAGCCCAGCTGTAAGCTTGTCACCCCATGTTGAGCCTCGTGCTGCCGAAGACGATTAGCATCTGTGAATACTTTCCCACAGAGACCACAAGGCAGGATACCAGCCTCTCGTAGGCCCCCTGGGCTACCAAACATCATGGAGTCCAAGAGATTGGCTTTACGGGGACGCCCTCTGCCCCTCTTGGTGCTTAAAGTGGGGCCACTAGCAGCAACATTCTGGAAGGGTGAGGCCAGCAGCGGTGGGGACAGAGGTCCTGCCACCATGGGCAGGCGGTCCACACCCTGCAGGACAGGTAGGGAGGACTGCGCAGCGCTGAGCGCAGCCCGCGTGGCCTCATCTTCAGGCATGCCAGCAATGCCGTTGCCATTGGGTGCCAAAGTGGCACCGTTGGTCATGTCAAGAGGGAAGCCGAGGTCAGCGGCACCCGGACGGAACAGCATGATGTCAGGGCGTGCGGGGGGCACGAGGAGCTGCACGTTGGACTGCTTGATGACCTCCTGGCAGATGTCGATCACGGAGCGCATCAGCAGGAATTTGGCGGCCGTCATGAGCTCCGGGAAGCTCTCCAGCCGCACCACGATGCGCGACGTGTAGGCGAAGTCCAGGATGTCTCCGAACACCTTGGAGCTGATGGTGTGCATCTCCAGCTCCCGCCCGCCCCCGGGGGCGCCGCCGGTCGCCGCCGCAGCCCCGCCGGCCGCCGCCTCCGCCGCGCTCCCCTCCGCGCCGCCGCCGCCGCCACTTGCCCCGTCGCCGAGCTGCGCGCTGAACACCGACTCGAAGTACTCGCTGCAAGCGGCCAGCACGGCGCGGTGCGCCGGGAAGCTCTCGTCGCCCACGCGTAGGAGCACGTCGCAGAAGCGGCCGCCGTTCTTGCGCTGCTGGTTGAGGCTGTGCAGCACGTCGGCGCTGTGCCGGCTCACCTGGTAGGTGTAGCAGCCCGACGAGGGGCCGCAGGCGGCGGCCTCGCTCACCCGCTCCATGGGGGCTGCGCCGCCCCGCCGGCGCCCGCAGGGGGCGCGCGCGCTCTCGGGCCGCCCGCGAGGCGCTGCGGCCGCGGAGCCGCCGCGGGAAGGGGCGTGCGCGGCGCGGCGGCTGCAGCCGGGAGGGACGGGGGTCCGGCGGCGGCTCCGGGCTGCCGGCTCCGTCCGTCCCTGTGTGTTTGGAGCGGAGGAAAGATGGCAGCGGCTGCACTTCCTCTTGCACTTTCACCCCTGGGGGGAGGAGAAGGAGGGGGCGATACCACCCCCCCTACAAAAATCCAGCGGGGGCCCCCCGGCTGCTGCTCCCCGACCAAGCGCCGCCGCCGCCGGCCCCGGTCCGGGCCCCGCCCGCTTCGACGCACCCTCACCACCGGCGCCGCAAACTTTCCTCTCTTCTTTGGACGAGAAGACCCCCACCCTATTCACAGAGACCCCCCCTCCAGCCACTCTTCTTCTTTCCCACGCCATGTTATTACCAACAATCCTCAGCCAGAGCCAGCAGGCCGGCCCCCACCCCGCCCGCCCGCGGGGGCTGGGGGCTGCAGTCTCCCCCTTCCCCAGCACCGATCCTCCAATGCCGAGCCGGCAGTGAGGCCCCCCCCCCGCTGCTCACGGGGGTGGTGGGGCTGCGCTCGCCCCCTCCCCCAAATATCCGGGCTGCAGCTCGCCCCCGAGACCCCCCTCCCGCTGGAGAGAGGAGGAGGGGCCGGCGGGGGGGGCTGCAGGCAACCTTCCCCCCTCCCCAGGCGCGAATCGTCCAATGCAAACCCTCCCGGAGCTGCAGAGGCGCAGAGCGGCCCCCACCTCCTCGGCTCGCCTGAGGAGAGCCGATCCCAGAGGGGCCAGGGGCTGCAGCGCAGACCGGCCTCCCCCCGGTCTTTCATTGCATTTCTCACCCCCAACCCCCGTACACGATCAACTCTCAGCCTCGCTAGAGGAGCGAGGCGCCGGCATTGTGGGGGAGGGAAGGGGTACAGCGGGAATTCTTCCAGTGCGAAAATGCCCTCCCCTTGGGAGCGGTTGGGAGAAGCGGTACCCGCGGGCCGGGGGCTGCGGGAGGCACGGGCACCTCAGAGCCCCGAGTGCGTCCATGTTGGGGAAGCTGCTGCCCGCGGAGCCCCTCCCGCGCACCCGGGGTTCCCACGGCGCCCGGAGCGCCCCACGCCCAGCGCGGCGAGGCTCCCGCTCCCTTAAGTTACCCTTCCCCGGGCCCAGGTTAAACGCTCCGAAATGCACTGCCGAATTCACTGCGCGGGGTTGCCTGGACTGTCCTAGTGCTGAATCTTCCCCGTGTGCTCGAGGTCTCCCTATGAAGAGCTGCTATTTCAGCATCTTCGTTATTCATTTGCATCTGAAATCTGCTTTCTGTTTCAGAGAGAGGAATTCTTCTCTACTTTTGAAAAAACATCTCTCCCCCCCCCCCCCCCCCCACATCACACACACACACATTCCCCAAACAGAGTTCTTTGTTTTGTTAAAGACGACGCTTGGAAAAAAAGTGTTCAAGGACACTTTTTTACATTTGTAACATCAAGCCTAATTAAGAATGCTTGGACCACCTATTCACTATCTAATATCGTCACTTAAACTATTCTGTGGAAAATAGTGAACTTGGCGCATGTGAGGGCATCACAAACTACAGAGCCTTCCAAAAGCTCAAACCCAGCACTTGAATTAAATAGTGGTGAAACTGAAAAAGCATTCTGGGTACTGATGTGCAAATGAGCGCACCAAGCTTCCAACTTTCAAAATATTACATTAACACTTAAGGCCACACAGTGCCCTCAGCCTGTACACCAGATTTCTTCTGCTTTCCATAAGAACTGTTTGTCTCTACTGCAGTCAGAATATTACCAGTAACTTTTTATTACCGCACTATGTGTGCGAACACCCTGATATGAACATATACTTTGAGAAATTCGAGGCGGAGTGGTAGCAATGCTGACAAACCCAGCTTAAATACACGCTATTATATAGATAACACAGTGCTCATATTCTCTTAAGTCTGTGTGCCACAGACACACAAGTTGTACTTGCTACAGTGAGGAAAATGATTATGTTTAACTCACTAGCCAGGCTGCAAGCACACACAGACATGGAGCAGCTAAAGAATCTGGAATTTGCTTATCTTTCTTAGTGGCTTTGGACAGTTGTGTGCCTTTCCCCCAGTGGTTTATTAATTTGCTTTTCTTTTAGCCCCCAGCCTCCTGATATGGTTCCTGCTTCCTATTTCAGTTCCCTCCTTGCCTGTTCTTTGTCTCTCCTCTAGGCAGGGGGAGGGGGGTCCTGCCTCTCTCACAGCACTTTCCTCAGAACTTTCTCCAGTTGCCACGGAATGTTCTGGTTTCAGCTTCCAGCCCTCCTGTTTAAAAGGCACCATCCCACACACCCTGCCTGCTTCACTGGGTAAAAGCTAAAAAAACCCCAAAGCACGGCTGTTTCTTGGCAAGTGACCCACTCACACTTGCCACGAGGATGCCAGATCAGCACACTGGGAGCTCACACTCCGAATAGTTGCTGGATGCTTGTTCAAGACGACTGCCAGCACCTTGCAGTCGCGGGTAATCACAAGGACACGGACACAGCCCTTTGCCTTGGCTCCTCAGCACTCTGCCATGGCAGTGGCTGCAGCTCTCCTCTTGGTACTTACAGTCTTTGTGCCCTGGCTCACCGCACCCTACAGCTCCGCCAGCACACTTAAAGGACTGCTGCTTAGAACGTTTTCTGGTCCCAAACTCACCCTGTCTCAGAATATAAGACTATCGAAGCAGTCACTCAACTAGCATTTGTTAAAACATTGCCAAATTTCTTCTGAAAATGAACAGGTACTAAACAAACTGAGCAAAAATTTGGCTCATCACTATGAACAGACTTGTAAGGTGAAGTTCCCTAAATTTAATGTGATGACTAAATGGCATTTTTCCATACATAACTGTGTAAGCAGGCAGGAGTGATTACCTTTGAACTCAATTAACCATCACAACTAGCAACTTACTTTTTGAACACAAAGTTCCAGATAATGTGAAAGAAAGTTTTAAATTTCAATTTTGAAATTTATGTTTTCTGTATCCAATATTTCCTTTCCTTTTTAGATTATTCATAATCTATTTTCTTTGATATCCTCTGCACTGGAATGAGCTGAACTTCTTTTGAATCCATTCCTCTTTTAAATAAAGGCATTTTCTTCAGCTACTTTATTCAGCTTCTCACTATTTCCTGTCTCACTTCTGCTCAAGGGAATTCCTGAGGTGTCCCTAAATGTTTTGCAGCTGCCTGGTGCCTGCTGAAGCACTTTGATTGGTATTTCAATAGTATTAATAATCTCCTTTTCTCCAAACATGTGTGTACCATTTGGGACTCCACATTGTACATTGCTCGCTTCACTGCAGATCAATTGCTACTGGCCTTACTCAGAAGTGCAGACCTTAAATTGGTGTGCAAATATAGGAGGTAACAAAAGACTGTTACAGTTGAATCTGTTCAAACATATTTGGGTATATGTTAATTAGAGTTGAGTCATACCTATTTGTTCAACACTTTCAGCTTGTGAATCTGTGTAGGTTTTGAGGCCACTGAAATTTTTTGGAATTATTATACTCTTTAAGAAGGTTAGTCACTATTTCACAGGGATTATAATATTAGCAGAGACATTTGTGCATAGCACTTGTGCCAGCTAATCAGTCATATGAACCATTTCCTTTCTATGCATGTTCCACAGAAATACACAGCACTGAGCAGTTTGTGGCACACGAAATTTCAGTGAGTAGCTGTCAGTTTTTCTGAGCTTTCACTGATATTTTAATTAACTGCTACTGATATAACAAGCAATTAATTCAGCATTACTTATTCGTTGATTATTACTTAAATTTAGTTTTTGAAGCTGGCTCAGTTTATTATTAGGAATCGTCCCATGAGAATGCCAACCCTAGCAGCAAGGATTCTCAGACTTGGAGACAGCAGTTTCCTCTGTAACCCAAACGTGGGTTTAGTGATTTGTCAGCTTTCTCCTCTAGAAGCAGATGAAAACTCTTTAAAAATACCCAGCACTCTCACAAAACTGACAGCAATAGGATGGTATATGATGCTCTGGAAAGTACACAGAAAGACTTACTTTAAAAAGAGAAAACAGCACTGTTTGGTTTTCCTCTTTTTGATCACTCTCCTCACTGCACCCATGTGCTGTGTACTCTGTGTGTTGCATGGCAGCCCACGACAAAGTGTGGGGAGTTGATGTTAAACTATACAACTTTCAGTTGTTATACTAATTTTACACAGTCTTGGAAGCCAACCCTTCATACTTAATCTCCCTTTTGTTCCCCTCATTTCTTCAGTCTGCTCAGTTTAACTTATTCTAGACTGCCTGAAACCAAAGCAACCTGACCCATTCAAAACAAGATTGCCACATTAGAGATCTGTGCAACGTGGAAATACAACCTAGGATTCCATCTCGTTGCCTCCCAGTGAATTAGGCATTCATGCCTACCTAAGCAAACCTGACAGACAACTTTTTCTCCTAAAACATACATTACAATACAATCCTAAATATGCAATGCAAGCACAAAGGTTTGGTATTTACAGATTAACAGCTAAACTACTGTGCTCTTCGCCAGGAAAACTCCTACCGAGATAACAAGTAAACTGGCATAAAAAAATTAATCCTAGAAGACAGCTAGGAATTGCTACATCTTTACATTTTACAACATTCAAAAGAGATGCAACTTTCTGTCTCTTGGTTCAAGAGTTAATTAAGATGTGAATTGCATCAATTCTCAGAGTCACTTCACCTCAGGCAATCAGTATTATGCTTCCATTGAAGATTCAGCACTATTGATTTAAAAAATCTTACCTTTTGATGGAACGTTTTCAAAATATCTTTCCTCCAAACAGTCATGAAGCTGGCCCTTAGTCAACTCATTATAGCTCATTATAGTTTTGTCTCTCCTTCAGCATGAGCAGTTCTTCCCTGAAATACAATGATAGGGTTAATTAGCAGCCAGTTC